CCCCCCCCCCCCCCCCCCCTCTCCCGGGGATGAATTTCATGACAAAAGGATACAGCTGCCTGGTTGCAACAAGCTTGTCTAAGTACATCTTTATGTTTCTTTCAGCGAAGCAGACAATGAAATCGCCTCCTTGGCCAGCACTTGGAACTGCCCTGTTTTAGGCAATGACAGCGACTTCTTTATCTTTGATATAAAAGACGGCTACATCCCACTTTCTTCTTTCAACTGGAAGGCTGATGGGTTAACTGCCGACATTTTCTATCGAGAAGAACTGGCATCGCACTTTGGAATCCGCGCAGAATTTCTTCCTTTGTTCGCTTCTTTGGTGGGGAATGATTACGTCAGTTTCGAGGTATTGGCAGAGTTTAGACCCACACTGAATCGCGGAAAAGCGTCAAGATTTGCAAGCATTGCTAACATTCTATCGGACTCAAGGACAGAAGAAGAGGCGCTCGAGTCCGCGCTACGAATGGTAGGGTCAGCGGTAAGCAGAGATAAACTAAGACAAGCTGTCGACCATTCTCTCCAGGAATACAAGATCACAGAGTCAAATTTACTGCACTTTTTCGATAGTGGTGTGGTCGACAGCTCCTTGAGGACTCAAAATGGCCGTAAAATTGAAGAATGGATCTTGCTCAAGTTTCGCAAGGGACTGTTCTCTGCCAAATGTATGAACGCCTTGACAACGGGGAAAATCCTTCTCAGAACTCAGGTTGAAAACTGTGAGGAAGTATCGGCTAATCAGTGCTCTCAGCGCCTGAGGAAAGTCATGTATGGCATTTTAAACGATGCTGCAGCTCACGACGGGAGAGGAAATATAACGATGGTCCAAGAATGGGACAGAGAGGGCTTAGAGGTCAAGTCGTCAAATGTGCCACCCTACCAGGAGGGCGTGGTCGCTAGAGTGAGTCTCATTCCGCGCTTCGAGAAAGAAGTAAGATTAGAGATTTTGTTAAATGCGCTTGATTTAAACACAGCTTGCATCAAGTCCTTGCCGGAGAAGTTTAAATTAATTGCAGCGTCACTACGTTTCCTCGTTAATAACGCTCAGCCAATGTTAAAGGTGAACCATCTCGTCTCTTTACTCTGCTGTTGTCTTATTTTGGAAGACGATTCCACTGAACATAAAGGAAACGCTGAGACCAGTACGTTTGATCTAGGAGCGGCACAAAGCTTTTCTCAGTGGCAGTGTGTTTTGAGGGACGCCATTGATCTTAACTTCATTTTGTGTGAGCCCTTAACTACACTGTGTGTTCACAAGACGTTCAATGGAAAACTGGCTCATAGTCTGCAGGAAAAGTTAAATCAAGGTATATCTTTCCGGTACAAATGCGTACAGACAATTTGTTTTAAAATCTGACAAATATCGAGAGTGTCAAGGCTGTGTAGCTCTCTCTCCTAGTCATTTAATGCTAAAATCTTACTCCAGACCAAAAGGACTTGAAAGCCACATCCTTTGGCACCACGCACACCAATATAGCTTATATTAGGGCGTACCCTCTGGGGGTCCTAGAAATGGAACACACCAAGCTAACACAGTCGTGGGAAAAGGATTCCGGATATGGTTGGATTACCGTCTCCGAAAATTGACTCGGCTTGTAATTTTCGTCCAAGAAGCGTCAGCCAATTGGCCATTTCCGAGTTAGGTTGTGCCTCTGTTTCAAAATGAGTCCTCGTGCAAAGTCTTTCATATGAAGATGTATTTGATTTGCACGAAAGTGAACCTATAGCAGAATTGTTGTGCATCAAGTCTCATTTTGATATAGAGGCACAAGGGAACTCGGCAATGGCCTATTGCCATGTGCTCGCTGACTGGTTGTTCTAGCATGAGGGAATTTTCACGGGGCGCAACTGTTTTCTACTTGCTGCTGTAATCGACTTTGCTTTAAGTAGGCTCTACTCTTTTCCTGGATGTTTCTTATCATCGGTTGTAGAGAATAAAACCTTCTCCTCTTCTCTTCGCTTCTAGATTCAAATTATATAAACATCACTACATGCTATATTGAGAAACAGAATGAGAACTGTTTGCTTTACATCTTTCAGGTCGAACCCCAGAAGAGCTGCTTCCATCCTTTAGAAACCAGTTGTTTTACAAAGAACTTAACAACGCAGTAACTGATGGCTTACAGGCAAAGCTGATCAGTGATGAGGGGCAGAAAAGTTTCTGTATTTATTTTGTTGTCGTATTGCTAGTGGTATTTTGTTGCGTCGGATTCTCTCTTCTTCGAGTATGAAAGAAATTACTGCCGTATATTTCCCCCATTACGAACAACTTAGGCCCAGTGCACACTACAACACCTGAGGAATTTGAAATTACACGGGGGTTTCACTCTGAAAAATCATCAAATGTTTTCCATTCACACTACGCCGGAGAAATTTCAAAACGCAACAATAAACCAATCATTTTGGATTTGTGTTTGAGGAAAACTCGGTCAGCGAAATCACATTACTATCGTGATGTTATCGTTTTGGAAAAGCCCCGTTCTAGGTAGGCCTAGCCGTAGAAATAAAGTTGCGTTTTCAAATTGTTCCGGCGTGGTGTGGACGCTGCCTTGAAAGTATTCCCGTCGCGTTTATATCCAAGCTTATATAGTTTGGTGTCGTTTGGTTATATCGGATTTTCTCTGCTACGAGCATGAATCTTTTCTAGTATGCATTTCATTTCTCATATCACGATTCGACAGAAAGTATTCCCGTCGCGTTTATGTCTAAGCTTACATAGTTTGGTGTCGTTTGGTTATATCGGAATTTCTCTGCTACGAGCATGAATCTTTTCTAGTATGCATTTCATTTCTCATGTCACGATTTAACGGAAAGGATTCCAGTTGCGTTATTTTGTTAGATCTTAGTTTTAAGTCGTTATCAACGAAATAATCTGGGTGTAAGATCATAACTGTCCTTGAAAAACCACAAGGAATGACGAGTAAGGGGAAAAAAATATATTTAAATATATGTTTATTTGTTCGTTAGAATAAAGAAAATATAGCTATATACAAGAGTAATAGTAAGTCATTTTACACTGAATTTCATGGCTGTCTTCAGCAATTGATATATACTATTTATGACATATAACAAGGCTCCTCTATGTATTCCAAAATGATTACATCAATTTCTAATTTTTCTCCAGAACTGGAAATTCAAATCGTAAAAAGCAATCTAATTCATACGCTATTCTATCGTCAGATCGGTGAATATAATTTTCCTGCAACACTGAACCCTAATAAACAATCGACTCTTAATGCCGACATACAAGCAGCTAAGCCCTAAAACGGACAAAACCATCAGTGTTCCTAAGATAGTAAATGGAATTTACCTAAAAAGTCGCAATTCTGCAAGGAAAATCAAAATTTAAATCGAATTTTGACCGCAAAACTTAAGGTTTCAGCAAAGAACTGAAACGTTACTTGTTTTAAGAAAATAAATATTCTATGATTCTTCGAGGCAGCAAGCTTCTTTAAAGATCCCGCGGTTTTTCGTCAAAACGTTGCCAAGCAAAGCCATTCGTTGCTAAGGACCATGAATTATCGCCCTTGTCCTATTTTTCTGACTGGATAATATGTGGATGATTCTAAGAATTTAGCAAAAAAAGACACTTGCTGATGTGAAAGAATGGCAGGCTTAAAATAAATGCCCCATAAAAACGTTTCAAAGATTAAAAGTAATACAAAATAAATATAATTGCCCCCAGTTAAGATATCTCGGAACCACTGAGATATTATAAAAAGTTCTATGAAAGATAAAAAAAATTTACACATAACTAGCGTACAAACTCTGCACGGGACAGTATATCATACCTAAAATTATTTGATATTTCTCTCCACTATTTGAATTGTGTTAAAAAATGTTCAAAACTTTACCTTGTAATCGTGAATTAAGCCTGCTCCAATTTCATTCCAATCTGCTTGAAAATGAGAATTACATTGAATACGCGATGCTGCAGTCGATCAATGACCTTTTGATTCCTGTGTGACATCTTTATGTTGGTTTTCCATTGCTAAGCCAATCAAAAGGTAAGTTAGTCAATGAAGGCAGGGTAAGCAAAGTAACCGCAAGCTACTGACCGAAAAGTTTGGAAAACCAACAAAAAGTTGTCCGGAAGTTGTACTTGCAGATAACGATTCTTTGATTGGCTCGAAATTTTAGAAAACCAACACAAACATGCCAAAAGCCCTCAAAGGTGTGGCGCCTTTAGACGTAAATATGCAGGCTAAGCGGGGCAGAGGGGAGACTGGTCTTGTCTCATCTGATTCTCCTCTTTTCCTTTTAAGTCACGTGATAGCGTCTTGACCAATAACACCATTGTGGTAAACATCGCCCAGTCATAAAGCATGTCCATTGCCATGTTTGCGTAGAGGTTACAGCTCGTTAACTTATTTCATCCAGGCGATCGTTACAGTTACTTTTACCGTGGTTTGATCCAATCCAACTCTCCATTCATTCGAACATGGAGTCTAACTCAGTGGAGAAGTCATTTAACATGCTGTTGATGTCCTTCAATAGATCTTCAGCTATTCTACAATGAAGAGAGCATGATAGAGCAATTAATTCGACAAGCACGAGACGGGGTTAACAGTATATAATTTCGCGATCATAATCTGACACTGATAGTTTAGTCACGAGAGCAAGCATGAAACAAGAGTCGCCCAGCGAGGTGGGAAAAGCTTACAGTACTAAAAACACTGCACTTTAATACTTATCCAGGACCCAAACAGCCCAAAGTGATTTATAGGGCTTACTCTTTGAATTACGAAAGTAACGCTAGCGTAATGCAAGCGAGGCGAGAGAAGCTTTGCGCCCGCCTCGAAATCTCGCAACATTACATTAGAGCATTTACATGGCCAGCTGTGATCGGATTCTAATTTTTTTTTTTCAACAAATCAAAATAAAGTCATTTATCAAGGTCATGAGAATTAACGAACTGATTTCTATAGAGAACTCGCCTTGATATATAATCGTCTTCACCTAACTATTACTATGACAACTAAGTAGGGTCTCTACTAAAGAGCTTAGAAGAATTTGTATGTTGAGCTTAAGATTTAAAGCAATTTTATGTACGTACTCTTGCTCCTTCTTCGCCGCTTCCGTGTCTACAGACTCCGCTTCGATATTTACTTCGGGCACAGCTGAAGGTGACACAGAGGGTTCTGTGACAAAATTAGCACGATAAATAACATTGCAAGCAGAGAGGTCAGCAAGGTTAGCAACAGCATGACGTATTCCAAGAGTATTCAACGGTAACTAACCCAATCAGAGCGCGAGTATTTGTCACGTGAGCCCATACCTGTTAGGTCAGGTCACGTTACTTAGCAACAGCCCTGGCGAAGAACCCGGCTTCAGGTTACTCTCGGAGATCAAAAAGCCGGGGAAGCAAGCAATTACCTTTGCCTCCAAAAATTGACCAAACCCGTGCAAGCGACAGCTTACAATCCAAAAATAGGAGGTATCGCCCATTCAGCGTCGTTCACTTTTAGAATGGATAAATTTCACCCACTGGACAGGCCGTTTACCCAAGAGAAAACGTTATTCATTCCTGGCACAATCGTTGTCTGCACTATATAATTCTAAAACGACGCCAAAGTGGCTATTATTCCGTGACTGACTAGCTTAGTGCTCATGTCACCACGCACACGCAGTGCATCTGAGCGCGCCCGAGCAAACTCTCTATGTGGAGACAGTCAGTCCTAGCAACTGAGCGGCATTTTACGCCAGTATATTACCAATCAATTACCGTAATCTACAATGGTGGACAAAAGTCCTTGGGACACTAGTGATGAAATTCAACGAATTGTATGTGTTCTACAACTGAAGTTTTGAAAAAACGCTGCTATATACATTTACAAATGCGTTGCTGAAAAGTCAGAAGAAATTGCAGGTACTAGTTTTCCACATTGTGTGTGGGGTGAGAGGAGAGGCTAGGGAGGTGTTTGCCTGGCGTGTGTCACCAAAAGTGCAAATTTGCCCCGAGACTTTTGTCCATGATTGTAGCCTTACAGCGTAAAAGAAAGACGGCTGAGCCGTTCTCCCAACGGTACACAGAACTCACAGCTCCTTTTTTTTCTGGTTTATTCACCGCACAACTCACTGAAAGGACTTATAACTCACAATAAACTCTAGAAAAACTCCTTCGCTACTCGCTATTTTGTCACGTCCCGATTGTCTCATCCTGCTCGCATGTGTTCATTACCTTATTTAGTGGTGATCGCATGTGTCACAAACTAAGAGGGGTGGGGGTCGGTTAAAACTCTTGTACACGGCTTCTGAAGAGGGTCTAAAGCAACAATGCAGTAAAATATTTACCTGTGGTTGGTACTTCTGATAGATCTTCTCTAGAACGATTTCTGAGAATCTGTTTAATTTGTTCATCCAGTTCACCATCAGCTGTAGGAATGAGAAGAACATATAAGTCAAATGGCCAATCGTTATTCCAACTGCTTCACTGATCAGTAACCACTGCAGTTCAGTTCGTCTTCAGAGCTAGCTAGCTTTCTATTGGCCAGCACCACGAACGCTGACGCTGACCAGCTCCGATTATTTGAACATGCGCAGGGAGGTCAGTTTTCAATGCCAGCCCATCAGATTTCAAGGGGGAGGGGGGGTCCTGGCGACCAGACTGTCAATGCGCCAAAACCAAACGTGCAATTAATCAACACATGACTTCCGCACCATCTTGACCTACTTGGATTTCGATTGGCTTTAAATGATCATAAAATAATAATTTATTAATCTATAAACAAACGAAAACTAACCAAACAACTCCTGGCTAGTAACTAAAATTGGTAAGTAAAAGAAAGGCATCACAAGTGCTTTAAAGTATCACGCACAGCTTTTGGTTATGGTTAATTGTTACGTGCGTTGTTAAGACATTCCTTAACGCCTACATAAGGAAAGCAACAGTTTAGAAGATTACAGATATACGATTATTATCATAACATGCAAGAAGAAGTATTAAACCGTTGTCGTTTAAGACGATGTTTGAAGTATGACGTTTTTAAGAGTGCAAAAACAGTTGCGACGACAAGTTCAAGGAAAGACAAATATCTTATCACGGTTCTTTTGTGTGGCAAATCTCTCATCACAGCAAACTACGAAAACAGAGCCTGTTTACACTCCTAACACCCGTCATTGTTACTTTGATTAGTTATTAGTTATTAATGTTACTGATTTGTTAGGATGAGTAGTGCTTGTCTGATCGTAGGTGTAGGAACAGTGCCTCACTCTCTCTCGCCGTCAACCGTTGTTTACCTCTCGTCGCGTCCACTTGGTTCGTTCTCACTCCTCCATGATACTCGTGCGAGGTGTTCAGTCGGTCTGGAGCGCTAACCTTTCGACCTGGTTTTTCAAAACTCTTTCTTGTCTCTTCTATCTCTTCGATCAACGATTCCACTGAGCTATGACTGCTGGCGCTACTGCTGCACGATCGCAAACTTCCATTTCCGTTTCCGGTTTGTCGAGCGCGTGGAGGCGACGGCCAACAGGAGGGGCTAGAACCAGTGCTACTGCGTCCTGATAGCAACGTGATTGACAGTAACTATACACGTGACGTAAATGGTAATGCAACCACGTGCGACAAAGTTGTCACGTGAATTTATTGTAAAAGGATGAATAAATGTATAAATGATATGAAACTGAAGCAATACGTCTAAAGCTGTTAAAAGTTCGTTTGTGTTCTTTAAATGAATTGAAAGTTTAATTTGTTTTTCACACAATGAGGGATATATAGATATATATACACAGATATACACACAGATATACAGCCCCACAGTAATCCGTGAAGTGTCACTGATTATTGAATTGAGGCACCTAAACAGAGATGCCTTTTTGTTTTTTTTCCAGCTACGGTTAAGTGTTTTAAAATGCTATAGGTTATGTGCTTTAAGCCAAGCTTTATAGTGCAGCGTTATTCAATTTCCGTTCATTGGCGCATGATGTATCTCAAGTCAGACTGAAGATGAAACAATTCTTTATGTCCTCTGCTATATGTCCGTTCTCCTACAGTAACGCGATTCGCTCGATTTCAGTTTTCAATCGCCCGTGACAAAAAAACACAAAGTACTGGGGACTAGTGTACGGCCAGGATATAAAGAACTTGAATATGACACAAGTCTTGTGCAACTCGCAATCTCTCCAAAAATGACTGAAGTCTGCCGTATGTAACGAACTGTGGGATACACCAAACCAAACTTTTAGCCTTCGGGGATGTTCGTCACATCCGAGTGTACAGACGTTTACACGCAAGGGTTGGAGATCGAACATAGCACAGGAAAATTAACTGTTATCAAATGTGCTTGTGCATCAGTCAAGATTCCCACTGATTTAGAGTAAAATCTGTTAGTTAAATTCAACTTTTAACTAGTCCAAAATTAATATTTCACTGAGTGCTTTGCTTCTGTGTTAGTTACACTTGTACAAAAACTTTCATCGCTCACGGTGATGCGTGCTATATCGTCACAACTAGATAGGACGCTTGACGATTATCACCCCACCCCATCCCCCTCCCCGCTCCTTTAAGCCAGTATTCTGTCAGGGTCCCCTAATAATTAACAATTAGACCCGTAGCCCGCAAGGGCTACTGGTCAGTAGCCCATGAGACGAAGTCAAATGGGCTATAGACCCGTGGCCCTTGAGGGCGAAGGGTCTAATTGTTTTAGTATCACCAAACTAGTCGGACAGAAAAGGCAATAATAAAGTTAGCAAATGCAAGTTGAAGAAATATCTATTTGGGAATAACACGAAAGAAAGCATCACGCTCGATTGAGCCAATTTCGCTACTCGAGGACTATTACTAACAGTCTTCTAGTAGCGTAGCCAATTAAAATGCAGGATTCGCATTAGTCCACTAGTTGGGTGATACTAATTGGGGTTATCCAATTAGAGCGGTTCTCAATTGAGTGTCGTAAAACCAGAACCAAAGTAATCTCTCAAGCCAATCACAAAGAACACACAATACAGTGAGCCAATCAAAACTCGAAGTACTCACATGTAGCTGACGCAAAGCGCGGGAAAACGCGTGCGAACGAGTCACGATTGGTTTTGGTTTTACTCCTGATTGGAAGAAAAATTGGCGCGAGTTCTTTTTAAACCAATCGCATAGCGTGGTAAGTGGAAAACCAATTACTTTTCAACACTCAAATGAAAACCGCTCTATATGGCTGGGCGAACTGGAAGAGAGGCACTGTGAGCGCAAAGCTAAGTTTGCCAAAAACAAACACAGTGACTCCGGCTGGGCCCGAACTCAGATCTGTCAAACCGGAATACAAAGCACTAACCATTAGGTTGTAGGTCAAACTATCATAGTTTCATTATTTTTTTTAAAAAAGACACCTACTGTCCACAGGAGACAAGGGTTTTGTCGGTGACCTGTCTCCGGCGCTTTCCTCGCCCGAGCTCCTCTCTCTGTATCCAGCCGTGAAAGACGCGGACTTTCGGGGCTTGGGCGGCACTTTAGGGGGCGGGCCCTTCTTAAAGCTTTTAGGCTTGACCGGTGGTGGTGGGGCAGGTTTCTTGGGTCTCTGAAAGGTAGAGTCCGGCGAGGAGGTACGTATTCTATCGTTCTCCTCTGAAACCATGTCCTTCACGGCCATTCCGGGGCCATTGAAATCGATTTTAGTTTGATTAGAGTTGGCCACATGACGTGGCAGCTCAATATCCTCCAATGGAGGGGGAGGGCGGGGAGGAGGTTCGTCGTCTTCATTAGCTGAAGTTAAAACAGAATTATCTCCATGTAATCCTAACGAAGGGTCCAATTCATTTTCATGGTTGCCTTTTTCCTCCGGAGGGTCTAGCCGATTGGCAGAGGGATCAACCCCATCACCATCCGTCTGCGGCGCCTCAGGGCACAGATCATGTGGACCAGCATTCTTCTGTTGATCTTGATCTCCGTTTTCATATGGTAATTCTTCTTTATGAACAAGCTGCGTTGTTGTCTCGGGAATTTCGGATTCCGCCGACGAAGAATCCTCGACAAAAAGCTCTTCATTAGCTTTTCCACTCGGGGAAAGAGCATTGCGAGAAAACTCCTTTTGGTTTTCTTGTGTTCGAGCGCTTTCCGAGATCAATTCAGATGGTTCAACTTCATCGGTTGATACTCCGGAATCTTCTCCATCTAAACATGTCTCTAAATAACCCTTCCTCTCCTGAAGCGGAAATTTCTCTTCTACACTTTCCAGCACGTTCTCATTTTCGTCTGCCTCTTTCAGAGCTTGCACGGCCATCCATATCTTTCTTTGATGGCCTGGTTTTTTGACTCCAATCGCTACTAGGTCTTCTAACGTCATGTCCTGGAGGAAATCCATGTCATCGAATCCGCCGTCCAAGAACTCGGGTATGTATTGCTCTAGACCAATCAGACGCAGCCACGTCATAATATCTCTCTGCAAGAGAAGCACCAGGTTTACCGTGAATTGGGATTGCGTGAACATGCACCAGTCGGACGTGACAACTGAACGTAACGCTTCCGTTCTTTCTTATGCCGTGGGTAAATAAGCCAAGCTTGCAAGATTTTTCAGCTAGTATAAATTGCATTTGCTCTGAAAATCTGTGACAGCTGGCCAGTGCGTACCCGAGGCAAAGCTGAGTGAAATACTTTATGACATTTTTTCGAAATAAAAACAAAATTCAAATTTAGGACTGCATGGAAAGACCTCATACTTCCAACACATCACATAAGGGAATTTGAAACGTCTGTAAGTTTTGTGATAGTGCTTTACATTCCTGACAATATCCAGCTATTCATGTACAAACTGCTATTACAGCTCACCGGTTTTTCTCTCGGAAATACCACTCTACTTTCCAGTTTGGCTGATTCTGATAGAATCTTTTTCCTATGACCTGTTTTCGTCACGTTTATGGCCGTCAAATCCTGACAAAATGCAAAGAAAACAAACAAACAAAAATTACAGCAACAACCAGGCAAGTAAGCAAGCAAGTTTAAGAGTTGGTTTCCCAAAATATACGTTATTCTCTGTATTCGTATAACCTGCCATTCAACGTGAATAACTATCAATACGTTGAGCCCAAATTTTCCTTCACCGTCCATGTTAAGCCGCTCACAACATAAAATATTCAGTACGCCGAATTTATAGTTCTCCTACATTTTTTATGAAGACCTAAACAAAAACGCCCATGGCACACTAAAACAGGAATCTCTCACGTAATTTTGATTTCATCACTTTGTACCGAACAGTTAAGACCACATGGTTAAAAAAACAGTAAATACTACGTTTAAATACACATGACTTCCGGTTCGTGAGGCCTGTAGCTTTAAGTCTCCCATTCCAAAAATATGACGGACTCGTTGTCAGATATAACCCCTTCTATTGTAGCTCGAGTCCTAAAAGTCCTTTCGCAATCACACACCTCCTAACTTACGTAGTTAGAGACGAAAAGGCAAAATGACAGTATCACCCTATTTTAAACAGATCTTGCTCTACAACAAGCGCAACAGTACGCCGTAAAGTTCGGAAAATGACGATCCTTTTGGATTCATACTAGTAGCCTGTCGCTATCGCTACTTTCCGATGATCGAAACTTTCGGAGGATCGCTACTCAGGCTTACAGGAGTCGTTACTTTCGGAACTTTACGGTAAATTAGCACGTGTTTCGTGTCATGTTTGGAGGAGCTCCGTGACAAAATTCAATATCGGAGGTATAAACTTGATCAGAGTAAGTAGTGTCGATTACTAATCCCTCAAGTGCTGACACTTTACCACGCAATAACTCAATAATTTGTCTTGCTTGATAACAAAAACTGATTTTTATGACATTAATACGAATGAAATCAAGTCAGACGGTTTACGTTCTTTTTCTCTTTCCCTTTTCTCAACTGAGCTACCTTAGCATTACCTAGGTAATGGAAAAGCACAAAGCCCTAAAAGTCAAAAAAAAAAACTTCCACACTCGCGTTCGTTGTTCCCAAACAGTTGAAAGACGAAACAAACCAGTCGAACATTGGGTAAAACAACGTATAAACTACGCAAAATAAAACTTGAATTTTCACTTCAAACTTAGAATTAAGCCTTTCTCTTACTGCTAAGAATTCAAGTTTTCCTTAGCCAGTTGTCAACTCTTTTGACTCTTAAAACATATATAGTTTCAATAAATGAGTTTCGTAAACATGTTTTTTTGATTATCACACACGAAACCACACATCGTAAAGTTGTGAAGATGACTTGTTGAAACTCGAAATTAAAGCTACAAAAGCTTGCTGTTTTCTTTACCTCTGCAGTTATTCCAAGTATACTGGTCATGTCGAAACCTCCTTTCACAAAATTATCGATGTAGATAGTCAGTCTGAATTTCTGCAGCCAGTCGAACAACTCGTTATACTCTCGCATCTAGAAAAAAAGAAGAAAGACAATAAGAACAAAGAGACATGGATATTAACAAAATGAATCAAATTGGCGCTTTTCAAGGCATCAAATATTGCAAGAAAACAACATAACACAACATAAGTAAATAAAAGGTGATGTCAAGGCAACGGAGCTAAGTATCTGCCTTTATCTAAGCAACTAGTAAGAATCTACAGGCTACATGTAGGCAGAGGTCAACTCTAGTAGCCGTTTCGAACGTGTTACCTGAAGCTTCAACGCCGAGCAACTCACCTAACAGTCTGCCCAAGGCCTTAAAAAAAGTACCGAGAAAATGATCGTGTCTTATCCAAACAGAGCTCAATGATAAGTTGCTTGAAAAATTAACTGTGGCATTTCTACTCAACCACAAACTGCAGGTGCTCTGGGAAAAATTCCACTGTTTCCGCGCTGACGAATAGTGACTGAATGCCTGACGTGACTAAATAAGGTTAAATCGCGAATCTAACATCCTGAAACAAGTTCAGTCAATGATATTCTTCTTCCCACGTTTCCTGTTGATAGTATATTCGAAATATCCTGCGGGGCTCAGCTAATTAGGGAACATCATGACAGAAGAAAATCACTGAAAGAGCGGATCGGCGTGCTCGATAGGCAGGCAATGTTCCTTTTACAAAATAAACTTCACTTCTTTATAATTTTAATATCCTCGACTTGATGGTAATAGGGCTCTTATATGCAGAGTCTGTAAATGGGCGTAACGAGCCACTCAAATGCTATACACTTTCACTGACGCAAAAAAGCACTTGAAACTTGACCTCTCAACATCCGCCACAGAGTGCATCTTTCCGCACACTATCGTTTTCGTTTACTCCTTTTAACACAACTGCAACAGAGACGCACTCGTCATTTCTCGTTGATTTAGAGAAAAGAGACCTAACCCTGAAGTCAGGCTCTCTTTCAGCAAACCTGTTTAACACACAAGTCAATAAAATGCCATATATTGGTGTTCTCAGACAAGGATATCTCCACTCACCTTAAGCGGGATGTGGCCCGTAGCTTCCGAGGGATCACCCGCGTCTCCTGCTGGAACAAAATAGATACGCCACGCACGTTGAGTACAACGGAAAGACCACCACGACGTATAGAGACGAATGAAGTCAAATACGGTAACAAAATGTTAGGTTGTGGCGCCGGCAACAACCGCCCTTTCCCCAAGTCTCTCCCGATTTTTCTTAAAGGAAAATAGAGCAAAGCAAAACCTGAACTTTCTAGACTGACGGCAATAAATCCCTTTGATTGCTATAATAAATGTAATTACTACGAAAATCAGGTGAAGGGTATCTAACGTATCTACATGGTACATAAAACTTGTCTCGCAAAAAAGGCTCGTAGGTGAACTTGCAAGAAAGTCAGCTTGCTGAGTACAATAGGTTACTACTAGCCTGCAGAACTGGCAGATTTGCGGTGTCCGCGTTCGTGTACCACGTCTCCCGCTGAGCCCCGCAAATCC